GAAGAGAATGGGAAGGGAACGTGGATTTGACTGTGGAAACGCATATGGAGGAGAAATATCCTGTTTATTTGCATCTCCTCCTATGTCAATTAAGGGTAGGCAACGCATCCGCTATTGCAGATGTTTATAGGCAGCGGTCACTTCGCCATTTTGGCGAATACAGGTCGCCGCTTGCTCGTTTGCCACCTTATGATATAAAGAAACCTTAAAGTCGAGAAAATAAATGTCATGATTGAAAAGTTATAAGTAACAAGTAAACCCGAGTGAAAACACAAAAGAAACAATTGAATTGTTTTCATTTTTTTTTATTATGGAATTGTGTGAAATTAAATTAAAAAGAATACCGACTGTAAACGCATAAGAAATAAATAAAAAAGCAAAAACCTAGATCAAGTCTGCAATATATGGGAACTAACGCCATCTGTTAAACGCATTTTTAAACATGTAAAAAATTATTTCATATAAAAATAGCATGGTTTTGTAAGTTCACGTAAACATATTTCTCATGTTGTTTATAATTATAATTAAATAACATATTTTCATATATTACATATTTCGATAGAAAAATATGTTTTATTTTTTTTTATGTCAAATCATTTTTTCATGTTCAACAAAGCACTTAACAGATGGCGTTAGTTTTAGTAAATAAACTAAATGGCTTATATTACGTGATACTAGAAATTTATTATTTCCTTATATTACCTTTAACAGGAGTAACAGCTCCGAACAGCCTCCAGTCGAACTCCGGAGGTAACTTCACATTCATCTCCTGCAGCTCGCTCTCTCCATACGGGAACTCCAGACCTGCATCAGTTATAACAACATATCGGTTATAACAACATATCGGTTATAACAACATATCGGTTATAATGACATATCGGTTATAACAACATATCGGTTATAATGACATATCGGTTATAACAACATATCGGTTATAACAACATATCGGTTATAATGACATATCGGTTATAACAACATATCGGTTATACCAACATATCGGTTATACCAACATATCGGTTATACCAACATATCGGCTATAACAACATATCGGTTATAACAACATATCGGTTATAACAACATATCGGTTATAACAACATATCGGTTATAATGACATATCGGTTATAACAACATATCGGTTAAACCAACATATCGGTTATTACAATATATCGGTTATAGCAACAAATCGGTTATAACATATCGGTTATCGTAACATATTGATATTTTTTAAAGTTTGTAGCCTAAAATGCTGAACAGATCTCGAAAATAGCATATTTTTAAATAATTCTTTCTTTAATAAAAAGCTCTTCACTCACGAAACGCTTTAGGCTATATACTTTCACGTTATTAAAGTTAAGGGATAAATAAATTGGAAAAAAACCTTCATGTGGGAAAGGGACCATAAACTACATGCTGCCAACATCACGGAAGCAAGGTTGCCATGATTTGTCATGTCATGTCATTTTGACATTTACAATTGATAATTTGACAAATGTAAACAATTAAATAATCTTACTAATATTATAAAAGCTAAAGTTTAGATGGATGTTTTTTAGAGTTTGTAGCCTAAACTGCTGAACGCATCTCGATGAAATTTGGCATACATGTAGAGTATGGTCTGGAAGAACACATAGGCTACTTTTTTGAATTCCACTCGGACGGAGTCGCGGGAAAAAGCTAGTTTTTTCGTAATTTTATGCGGATGAAGCCGCACGGGAACAGCTAGTACTGATAATCATTATATTGAAGGTTTTGAGGATAATGGTAGTTGTAGGTAATGGTCACTCACCCAGTGGGCTGGGTCCGCTGTACCTCCTGCCCCGGAGCGCTGCCAGCTCATCCTCAGCCCAGTCCGCGAGGTGGTTCACAGCCAGGGTGTAACCACGACGAGCTCGGTTGTTGGAGTGGATATATCTGATGATGAAACGCGACATTCCAAACATTATCTCTCCTACCTTATCCTCCTGTAGTGTTGGCGTAAGGTTTTCATCCAAAAAACTCTATCATCTGTCATCTCAGTCATCACTCCCTTCATCATGTCACCATTCACGCAATCCATCTCTTTCTAGTATATATCTAGATTCATCCCTCTTCATAACACGCCCATTTAAAAAAAATGCCTATCTATGGCTCATATGTAGTAGGGTTATAGAACATTTTACAGAATGGGTAGGAAATAAATGTCCTCGACTATAATATGCAACTACAGTAAAAATTACCTAAGATTCTGTCTGAAGATGTTCAGTCGTTTCGCGTGCTCTATCTCGCTGGCGTACTTCTTGTTGTGTTTCATCTTGAACCTAACAATACAAAAATATAAATCATAAATAAATTCCATAATATTTGAACACAACAGAAAAAAAAATCCTTCTCAAATAATTTGGTCATAGAGTAAGTATCCCGACACTTACTCTATGACCAAACAGTAAATATATCAAAGATTATAAGACCACAGATGTGTCACTATAACTGTCAGTATAAGTGTCACCTGTCAAACTCGCTGTCAACGTGTGCGTCGTGTACGGGATGCACGAACTCCTTCATCGGGTTGAATGTTGCGTAATGACGAGCCCCGGGACCAGGGAACGAGGTACATTGCATATCTGTAAGCAATAGAAATGTATTAATATATAAATAATGTAACTAACAAAAAAGTAAACAGAAAAGTAACTAAAAAAAACAATAAAGGATAAACAAGCATAAATGAAACTAAATCAGACAGCTCACTAGCGCCCTCCTGTCAATGTCAAAGTGTCACAAGATTATCGCAACTGTCATTTTCTTTTATTTTGTTAGTGAAGTTAGACCATATATGCGGAGTCAACCGCATGAAATTATAAAAAACAGTATTGTATTGTATACATTTGTAAAACTTTATAATGCAAATGCCAAAAATAAATTGGTCAAATGACAATGACCTTAACATTGGCTGAGAATTATTTATAAGTAACCTTGCAGTTAGCAGTTTTTGTCCCTTTACCGCATGACAGTTTTATCCAAATAATTTACCCCCCAAGTTTAATGGCGTTAAAATATATAGCCTAAAGCGTGACGTAAGTGTACGGCTTTTTATTAAAAAAAGAGTTATTCTAAAACAAGCTGTAATTGCTGACATCTTAGGCAACAAAGAAGTGTGTGTTTACGCTTTATTATAATAGTATAGATATACAGATATAGGTTGAATGTATAATTTCATACTTACTATGACTGACATCAAACACAGAGGGATCGATATCCTCAACATTATAGTCCCTGTAGTCCAAGTAATAGTGGTCGTAATGAGACCCCAGAAGGGAATTGAAGCCTTTCATTTCGTATCTGTAAAGAAAACCAATACAAATGTATACATGGGTCCAATTCAAAAGATTATTCATAGCCTAAGTTTAAATAAGACTCGGCAGTTTTTATCTTAATAATATTATAAATGCGTAGTTTAGATGGATGAATGGATGGACGGATGTTTTTATAAGCTAGTATATTATAATAATACAAGCTTTCGCCCGCAACTCTGTCCGCGTGGAATAAAAAAAACTAAAGTGAGCAGCCTATGTGTTCTTACAAACTATCCTCTACATATACCAAATTTCATCGAAATCTTTTCGCTTAGCTTAGGTGGAGTCGTGGTCAAGCGCTGGTTTATTTAAGTAAAAAAACAGTCTAGGCTACAAATATTAATAAAATCTCTTTATTTTATCTGTCTTTCAAAAAATTATGTAATTCATATTCACCTGACTGGAATAGGCACGGCGTCTCCTCGCAGACTCTTCTTATATTTCACCCACATCGTGTATTTGTTCACTTTATCGCCTATCGTTTGTACCATACGCCATTTCGATGTATCCGCGTCTTGCATCGTTTCTGTACCTAAATGAAAACATAACAATAATACAGAAAATATTTGCATTTGGTTCACGAGATTACTGCCATGTGGCGTATAAAATCGACTACCATTATTCCGATAGTCGTTTCGGTACACGGGCTGATAGCGAAGAGCTTCGACCAACACCTCAAGAAGCTCTCGCTAGATAGTTGTTTTAAGGGCTCGATGCAAAAGGCGGTTATTTTAGAAACCGCACGAATAGTGAGGAGGTTCCTGTCTCTGCCCTGACCACTGGTTGCTTGAGTCATCGGATTCCGCAGCCGGTGGTGCTCTATTTTTTTTATAATATATTTTATTTTATTTTTATATAAAATCTTGTAAAATGTATTAAGAAATAAAGATATATAGAAATATAAAAAATACAATAGTTATGTATGGATGTTTGTATCATAACACCAGAACATCTTAACGAATCTTAATAAAAAATTTCTCCCATATATAGAACTTAGTCTAGAAGGACACACTACATTTTTAGCTACTTTTACTATAAATATTACTAATATTAAATGAGTTTGGATGGATGTTTGTTATATATCACCAAAACGGCTTCATAGATTAATATAAAACTTGGTACAAATACAAAACACTGGAAGAACACAGGCTACTTACAGAGTATTTTTATAATTACGCGCGGACAGTCACGGGCAAAAGTAAGTAAAGCAATATAGCCTATGTTATTCACTGATAATGTAGCTTTTAAATTGTGAGAGAATTTTTCAAATCCATCCAATAATAATTAACTTTATTTATTACGTAAAAAATACAATATTTTACGGTAACATTACTATTGACTAGCTGTTTCTCGTGACTTCGCCCACGTGGTATTGAAAAATAATAGAAAATACAGCCTATGTTACTGATAACTTAGCTTTTTAATGGAATCCCAATCTGCCCAGTAGTTTGTACATGTATTGAATACATACAAAAATACAAATCTTTCCTCTTTATATTCTTAGTATAGAAGTATAGACATAGACTAGTGGTTGCCCGCGACTTCAGCATTAAATTAAAGTCTAAGCGCTGTAAAACTAGTAATAAAATTTCCTTACCGACAAACTTAAAATCAGTCATATCAGGCAGAACAGACTGGATGCTGACGCTTTGGTCTTCTGTACCATTCACTTGAAGACATGTGTCTTTATTTAATTCTTTCTCTGTAGTCACTGGGGCCACCTGGAAAACATACGCTGTGTCTATGGGACGGTAGAGGCCGCTTTAATCAC